GGTACCATTTTGTAGAGCAGGCTTCAACTTGGATTTGCAGTATGGAGCAAGCCAATATTCTTTCTTCATTACTTTAGGATTACGGGGGGAACTTTGAGAAGGGTTTTGCGTCATTGAGGGTCGTATGTTATCCTTGAAAAAGGAAGGAAGAAGCTGAAAACTCCTAACCCAGGTAAATCAGTTGCTAACTTCAAGTACGATACTCGCCCTATGAAACTTTCTCAAAAGTTATGCAGATGAACCATAACAACCGTTTTTAAAATTCCTCAAAAAATTGATCACCAATTATAAAGCACTGCGGACGCGCGAAAAGTGATGTAGTGAAATCAATATGCGTAAAAACCTCGTTCCACAATTTTTAGATTTTTTCGAAAATTTTTTTCGAACGGCTTACTTCACAGTGGCGCCATATGCTGCGAATTCCTACTGTAATCTTACCGTAACAGAGAGGGATTCGTAATTCGCTAAATATTGTAAACTTAAGTTAGCCAGCACTACCAAAGGGTACCTAAACCTTCTTTTGAAAAGGTTCAGGTACCTGAGAAGGTCCAACCTCCTCTTCATGACAAAAGAGTTATCAACAATCAAACGGTAGGCACATTTTTGGGACACCTGTAGAAGAAAGGCCAAAAAAAAAAATGAAAGGTAATAACCTAACAGTAAGATTCTATAGTTTCCGAGTATTTTTGGTATTCACACGAAAAAAACATGATAAACAGGATAGAGATTCTGTTATCACGCACTCGATGCCGTATATAAGGCTAGTGGCTTTCAGCGGTATTCTCATTTTTACACAATCGTTTCTGCTTGTGGACTGCTTATACACCATGCGAGTTGGTGGCATCGACTAGCCTTCCAGTCAAGAGATGCACGTTCTAATTTCAGAAAACTATCCACATCGCAGGGATTCTAATTCTTCTTGTATGCTTGGAAGTCGTATGGGGTATCACTGGATTCACATTTCGGAAAGTCCAATCATTGGTTTAATCTGTATTTAGGAGAAGAGGGCCAACAAGAAGAGGGAGGCGCTGAAGGTTCCGGAGATCATTCTGCAGAAGGTGAGGTTTAGAAACAATTGCTGCAATCTTCGCATAAAAATCCGCGTTCTAGGGGTTTCATGCGAAGATTGCAGCATTTAGACCGCTTGGTTTCCAGAACGCTAAATTTGTGTTTAGCGAGTCCAGCACCAGCTCCAGCACAAGAAGCAGCGGCAGCACCTGAGGGAGGAACTGAATCGCCTAAAAGTAATTTCAAGACTGCGAATTCTGAACTCCGATAATTCTTTGAACTCAGAACTGGCGAGAATGGGGAACTCAATCGTGCCGGTGATCGTGGGAATTGGAGCGGCTTTGCTATAGTTATGCAAAATGACTGCTTTTGCTAGCGTATTGTGCCATGGTATAAAGCTTCTGGCCGCATTTGTTGATGTCTGAACCCTA